CCGGCTCCTCCTGGCCTCCCGGGAACTACAAGTCCCAGGGGGCCTGGCGGTGGGCGGCGGGCGGAAGAGGCGGGGTCGGCGCCTCGAGGCCGGAAGTGGCCTTGGAGGCGGAAGTGGCGCGGCCGCGGAGGGGCCTGGAGCACGGCGGCGGGACCCGGGGCGGGAGCGGCGGCAGCGGCGGCGGCCGGGGGCGGCGGTGGTGCGCTGGAAGCGGCCATGGCAAAGCAGTACGACTCGGTGGAGTGTCCCTTTTGTGATGAGGTGACCAAATATGAGAAGCTCGCTAAGATCGGCCAAGGCACCTTCGGGTAAGGCTGGGCCCCGGCCCCGAGGGACCGGGAACCCTGGGCCTGCAAGCCTCGGGGCAGACGTGGGACGCCCTGGGCCGGGCCGACGTGGTCGCGAAGCCTCCACGGCCCCGGCTTGTCCCCTGGTCTCGCTAGGCCGCGACGCAGCCCGCCCCGGCCAGACGGAGCCGACTGGCTGGGAGGAGCCTGAGGCGCGTGAGGGGAGTGGGGAGGGGTGGCCGAGAGGAGCCTCCGAGGGGAGCGGGATCTCTCCCAGAGACGCCTGAGTGAGGCCTGGGGCCGTGGAACGAAGTAGAGGCTCGGAGAGGGGCCGCAGATGCCAACCGGTGGGGCAACCCGGTGCCCCGCGGGCCGCCTCTGCCCCGCCCTGGAGTCCCCTTCCTGCGCCCCTCCTCGAGGGGGGAGGGGCGGGCCCTGCGGAAACGGCCTGATGAGCCCTCTTGGGTCCCCCCTCTCGGCCTGCAGGGAGGTGTTTAAAGCAAAGCATCGCAAGACCGGCAAAAAGGTGGCTCTGAAGAAAGTTCTGATGGAGAACGAGAAGGAGGGGGTGAGTAGGGGTCGGTGGCCCGGCTGGCCAGTTCCCCTGGCTGGGGTCGGGGGAGGTTGCGAGCCCACCGCCTCCTCGTAGGAGGCTCAGGTTGAGACACAATTTTTGTGTGGAAATGCGGGAGTTCCCGCCTTCCAGGGAATTTGACTTTCAAATTTTAATGCAAATGTTTGCGAGCAAGTGTCTCTTCATTCTTAGGAGAGTAAGTTCAGGTCCAGGAGGCCGGGCTTTGCCTTCCCTGAGCTTGCTTCCAAGTTAGGAAGCCTTCAAGCACTTTCTCCTTAGCTTTTCCCTGTGTTATAATGTAAAGAAAAAAAATGCATGCAAAGACTTTAAATGCCCTAGTACTTGAGTGTGTTAAAGGAGTTGTCTGGTCCCCAGCATACCTTAGCTTAGCTCAGCTTCCTGGAGATCTACTTCTAGGCATGGAAAGTTGTGGTTACTTTTGTTTTCATCAGCACTATACAGCATGCTAAACACAGGCGTAGAGCTGAAGTTTAAAGGCTGGAGCAACTGTAAAGCAGTTAGAGACTAAGAGAAGCATTTGTGTGAGTGTCGCTATTTTAATTTCCCCTGGAGCCAGCTCCTTGACAGCAGCTCAGTCATCTGAGAAAACAGACCTCGGAGCCCTTGATCTCACTGTCTCCCGGCCTGTGCCCCTCAGTCCGACCCCGCCGTCTGCTACTCGGTTTGTAGTGCTCCCACTCATTTTTGACCCTTCTCTTCTCCCATGCAGTTCCCTATTACAGCCTTGCGAGAAATCAAAATTCTCCAGCTTCTCAAACACGAGAATGTGGTCAACTTGATTGAGATCTGTCGAACCAAAGGTGAGTTGTTTGGCCCTTGTCTCTGTTTTCAGACAGAGAAAATAAAGCAAGGTTATAGTCTAAGACTTTGTGTGCAGAACTCGAATTTGACATTAAATTGCCTCTTCTTAACCTAAGATCAACTGTGCTGCTTTCTCTGGGCCTCTCCCCGTAGCTGGTGCTCTCCCCAGGCGCTCTGCCCAATGAAGGAACACGCGTGTGGGTGCGGGCGTCTGGGCCGGAGAGGTTAGTAGCCTGCGGTGGGAACATTCAGTGCGTGAGGTTATTTACCTTCGTGTCTTTCCCCTCAGCGTCCCCCTATAACCGCTGCAAGGGCAGTATCTACCTGGTGTTTGACTTCTGTGAGCACGACCTGGCTGGGCTGCTGAGTAACGTCTTAGTCAAGTTCACACTGTCTGAGATCAAGAAGGTCATGCAGATGCTGCTCAATGGCCTCTACTACATCCACAGGAACAAGGTAGGGCAGGCGAGACCGAGACTGGGGCTGGCTTTGGCTCCCGTCGCCGGAGGGGGAGGAGACATGTGGCCAGAGGACACTGGGGGCCCTGGCTGAGCCCATACACTTGCCCTTCCTGCAGATCCTGCACAGGGACATGAAGGCCGCTAATGTGCTCATCACCCGAGACGGGGTCCTGAAGCTGGCAGACTTTGGCCTGGCTCGGGCCTTCAGCCTGGCCAAGAATAGCCAGCCCAACCGCTACACCAACCGTGTGGTGACACTTTGGTACCGGCCCCCGGAGCTGTTGCTCGGTGAGCACTCCCGAGCGGGCAGAGGGGGACAGGGGCTGGGCAACTTACCTGGCCTCAGCCCCCCACTGCTAGGGCTTCTTGAGCCGCCGGTCCCCGGGCATTGCCTCTAAGGAGGCCTTCGGGCTCAAAGGGCCCTCCTGGTGCGCTCTTCTTCCCAGGGGAGCGGGACTACGGCCCCCCCATTGACCTGTGGGGTGCTGGGTGCATCATGGCGGAGATGTGGACCCGCAGCCCTATCATGCAGGGCAACACGGAGCAGCACCAGCTCGCCCTCATCAGCCAGCTCTGTGGCTCCATCACCCCTGAGGTGCGTGGTTCTCACAGGCTACCAAGATCTTGAAGTCTTCATGGCAGGGAAAGAGTGGGGAGTCGCGTGGAAGGCGAACTCAGCCAGCACAGATGTCTGGTGCAGGCTTCTCTTGAGACCTGCACGGGCTGTGTTCAGATCTTGGCTCCATCGCCAGTTGGTTCTGGGCCATGCACAGCATTTGAAGCCATCACCTCTGAGCTGAGTGCGTTGTTTGTGAGACAGATGTTCTTGTATCAGGCTCGGGGCACCTCTTCCAGGTTCTGGGGCCTGGCACTCGGGCGTGCCAAGTATGTGGTCTCTGCTGCTGTCATCTGGGGTCAAGGTCACCCCACAAGGTGGTAGGGGAGCATCAAGGTGCTTGGCCAGCAGATAAACCCGGTACCCCTGAACTAACACCATCCCTTCTCCATGCCTCCCTCAAGGTGTGGCCCAATGTGGACAAGTATGAGTTATTTGAGAAACTGGACCTGGTCAAGGGCCAGAAGCGGAAGGTGAAGGACAGGCTGAAGGCCTATGTGCGCGACCCCTATGCGCTGGACCTCATCGACAAGTTGCTGGTGCTGGACCCCTCGCAGCGCATCGACAGTGACGATGCCCTGAACCACGACTTCTTCTGGTCCGACCCCATGCCCTCGGACCTCAAGGGCATGCTCTCCACCCACCTGACGTCCATGTTTGAGTACCTGGCACCGCCCCGCCGGAAGGGCAGTCAGATCACCCAGCAGTCCACCAACCAGAGCCGCAACCCCGCCACCACCAACCAGACAGAGTTTGAGCGCGTCTTCTGAGGACCGGCTGCTATCAAGCTTTCCATTAGGGCTGTTTTGTTTTTTTTCTTCTGCTACGTGACTCACGTTGTGGAGAGCTGGGGCTTTCTCCCTAGTGCGCGCTCTATTTAACCCCCACGTTGGGCACTGGGAGCACTAGCTGAGCAGACTGGAGGAAGCTTTGGCTGCAGGTCCAGGAGGGCACGGAGCTGCCTTCCTGGTGCCCTGGCTTTTGGGGTGGTGTCCAGAGGACAGGACTGAGGCGGGAGCGGAGGCTCACCCCACCAGAGACTTGCGGTGTGCCCCCAGTGTGATGGAGAAGTGGCCAGATCCCCGTCCCCAGCCTTCTTCTGGGCTGATGAGAAACTTGAGTGGGGTCAGAACCAGCCTTGGGAGCGGGCCGCCCTGGGCCTGGCTCCCAGCAGCACTGGCTGGTGGAAACTTGGTTTCTTCGATGGAAGAATTTTATGGTGTTTCTTTTGTTCCGGTTGTTTGGAGACATTTCTGGACAGTTTGGTCAGTTATGATTAAAGTTGACTTTTTTTCAGTGACTGTGTGCTGTGTTCTGTGACTAGACCCCAACTCTTAGCCTGCAGCCGGCAGGGGGGACCTCACCGCTGGGCGTTGTCTCGGCGCTCAGCTTCTCCCGTGTTTGTCCCTGACAGCTGATGGAGGATTTTTTGTCCTTTTTTTTTTTTAAGGTTTATTTATTTGTGCATACAGAACTGGGGTACAGGCCAGAGGTGTGCAGGGGTGGTGAGAAGATTCACCAGAGACAGTGGGGAGCAAGTCCACTGCTGAGGGGAGCAGCGGGCGGGTCAGGAGAGGTCTGCCACGCCATGTGGTCACCTCCGGGGCAGCGGGGATCAAACTCGTGCGGAAGTGAATTTAGCTTCTCAGTGCTGCGCTTTAACCCGCTGCGCCACCAGGGAGGGCCGGATTTTTATCTTTTCTTTCCTCAGCCGCTGTCCTGAGCTTGTGTAGACATGCTCTCCCCAGGCCTTTATAGAGATGCTCCCCTGCTCCCCTCCCTAAGCAGCGTCAGGAAGAGGGGAGGGCGTGCAGGGGTGTGCATGTCTGCAGTGGTGACCCAGCTGGGTGGTCTGCCCTGGCAGGCAACATGTTTGAACTTGACTCTGGGGCACTGGAGGCTGCGGAAGTCCCTTAAGCAGTGGAACAACAGCTCTGTAACTTGAGAAGTTACAGAGTTCCCTTGTGTGCTTAGAGAGCATGGCTTGGAGAGGCAAGGGAGAGCCTGTGGAGTTGGCGTGGCCGTGGGGGCTTCCGGAAGTGGCAGTAGCACGTCGTGTAAAGGTTAGATCTTGAGGCTTCAGAGCTGGGCCCTCTGAATGCAGTTCCTGTTCGCGTGAAGTTGAGGACAGGCAGGTTGGAGGTAGTCCACGACCTGTCACAGCTGCAGGCTGTGGAAGGGAGGGAGGTCGGCAGAGATCACCAGAGTTGTCCTCATGAAGAAAAGGTAAAGCAAGAAACTCCCAACAAGTGTGTTTTGGGGGGGACTGCTGAAACAAGATGCCACACATGCAGCAACAAAATAACACGTGCTCAAGTTGGAAATCTGTCGGTGATGGCAGGCCTGGTCTTGTGTTCCTTCTGGACACTCAGAATCCCGCGGGCCCCTCTCCCAGGGTCCGGTGGCCACCAGCAGCCAGGCTCCTCGGCTCAGGCCTGCAGTGACACCCTCCTTTTCTCCGGCCACAGGGACCCCAGTCGTTGGAAGCAGGATGCACCCGAGCCAGTATGGCCTCCTGGCCGACTGCAAAGATGATCTTCGAATAAGGTCGTGCGAAGTCCTGGGTGTTCGTGAACTCAGTATAACTCATAATCCGAAAGTCCAAGTCAAAACAACAGCAGGCTGTCGCGGTCGCTCTCAAATAGAGCTGGCCTAATTGTCCAAGGCAAGGTGTTTAGATAAAGCGTAAGAAGTTTCCAGAAGAGTTTGTGTCCTTTGATCCAGCAGCAGCAGCGATTCCTGAGACACAGTTGCCTGGTGATTGCCCGGTGAGTCTCGACGCAGCAAATCCCCCAAGGCATCTCATCCCTTCCTTGTCTCCAAGGGCCCTACTGTCCCAGACAGGATATGGCCACAGACCCCCCCCCCCCAACCCTTGAGGAATCCCCCTCGGTAGGGTCCAGGTAGCCGGTCCAGGCAGCCAGATGAGACGAGTTCTAGTTCTGTGGGAAATGTGTAGAGTGAGGGTGTTGGGCAGGGGCAGAGAGGGGAGGGTGCCACTCCCCTGTGTGGCAAAGCCCCGTGCCAGACTGCTACGGCCTGCTGTTTAGCAGAAGACTGTTGAGGAAAAGCAGGAGGGGAGGCAAAGCTGCGTGGAGGAGACAGGTTGGGGCAGCTGTGGTAAGCTGGACACCAGGTGACTGCTTGGGGCAAGCCAGGAGTGAAGCCCTGCAGAGGCCAGGGGAGCTTGCACTTGGGGTAGCGGTGAGGGCAGAGCTGACAGGGTTTGCTCTCAGGTTGGAAGTGAGGGAATGAAAGAGGTCGACTCCCCTTGCCTTGCTGGAGGGACGACAGGCTGCGCTGTCTCCCGTGGCGGGGGCCGCAGCCGGTCTGGCCAGAGTGCTCAGAAGTCAGAGTGGCTGATTCTAATTCAGGGTCCCCGAAGTCTCAGACATAGGTTCGCCTTGGGAAGTAGCCACCCCGGTGCGTCTCAGGTCCCAAGGCAGGAGGGAAGGGGGTAAGGGAGCGTGGCTCGCTGGGACCAGTGTTGAGGTGGCCTTGGAACCGGGGCGAGAGGGGGGAATGTGAGAAGAGACTCCAGGGCAGGCGGGTTTCAGAAGCTTTGGGGTGAGTGTGAGGTTGAGCCACATTGAGGTCGGTGTGACCTTGGTGTGCTTCGAATGAGAGCATGTCGGGGTCACCAGACATGGAGAGGGGACGCGGCAGCAACAGCGCCTTCTGCGAAGGAGCTGGAGGACTGAGAATGGGGGGCCCAAGGCCGGGGCTGCAGGGAGCGAGACAGCATGGCAGACAGATCCCAGCGTGGGTGGGAAGGCCCAAGGCCACACACCTAACCTGTTCTCTGCCCCGCCACCCCGTGTGTCCCTGTGAGAAAGCTGGGAAAGCAAATCCTCCCTGAGCTTAGAAGAAGTTAGAGCTTTTCTCCAACATCAGTGCCCATCCAAACCCCCACTCGTGGGTCGGCGAGGGGCAGCACTAACGACCACGCCACTCGGAAGAGGCAGCCAGGACAGGGTAGGGCCTGCGAGGGAACAGTAGGCAGCCGTGAAAAGGGATGTTGGAATATAGCGCGTCCTGGAGTAACACCGTTTCGTTTTGTTACAATAGCAGAGAGAAAACGCAATTCCTGCTGGTGTGGATTAAAACACCACTGGACAGTCTGCTTCCCTGATGACTTCAGTCATAGATTCGCAGAACTTGTGGTCTAAGTGAGCATGTAGCGTGTACACATTATGAGAGGGAGACAGCCCGAAGCAAGAGCAGCTTAGGAAATCTCTCCTGCTTGGCCACACTCTGTAGGACAAGCGGAAGGAGTCACTGGAACACACCCTGCTGTCTCGGGTGGCTCTGTGCTTTATGCCTGTGTTTCCCGTTTCCTGCATTAATATTTTTACTCTTGTAATTAAACCATTTTTTAAAATAATCAAAGCAGGCCTAACCCCAGGGCTCCCGGCTCTGAGTCCCCCCGGCCCCACCATGCTCATCCGAGAAAGGAGGTTGCTCTAGCAGGGCAGATGCATGGGTGCCCGCTCAGCCTCCCCGTGTGACGTGGTGGCAGGAAGTGCGTGGCTTGGAATGGAAGGTCCAAGCTTTTGTTGGCATTGCCCTGAGGTACCAGTGCAGCACTGGGCTTGGGGGGTGGGGCATGACTTTGCAACTCCTGTGTCACCCTGGTAGCTGGGGACAGGGTCTGGGTCCTATTTCAGTGAAACAGCCTCTTCTGCCAGCAGGCTTGGAAGCCTTAGGTCAAGGGCACCCCTGTGTCCTCTCCCCCTTCCCAGAGATGCCAGCCTAGCAGGGCCAGGGCAGACGGGCCCCAGTTGTAAGGGGTGGTGGGCTTCTAGGGGCCTAGAAGAGAGCCGAGATCAGCCCGCCCTGCTGGGAGGAAAGCCCAGCCCCCGTTTGGAAGTGTCCCCGTGCTCCCTCCCCCCAGCACCCCTGCCCGCCTGATCACCTTTAACCGCCACCCAGTTGTTATTTAACCAACGAGACCTGACTAGCCCGGCCAGCCTCCAGCCTGCCAGCGAGGCCAGGAGGTCTCTGCGCACACCCACGATGAGAGCAGGGACCTATCAGGTAAGACCTTTTAGGGAGGTCCCCAGGCGGCGGGGTGGAAAGAAGGCAAGGTCTCGGACTCCTCCCGGCTCCCCTTGTGCCTGGAACATGGGCAGGGCAGACTTGGCTGAGATACCCACGCATGTGAGTCGGTTTGCCTTGCCCATTGGGAAGCAGGAAGCTGAGGCATGAAAGGTGCCAGGTCCCTGGCCACCACCTGGCCAGTGGCCGAGAAGTGGTGGGAAGCAACCATGCAACAGCCGAGCCCGCTCGCGGGAGCTGCCTCCTTCCAGGTAGGAGACGGGCGGCCCTGGGTAGGCGGCCTGCCCTTCGCTCGTCCTTCCGCTTCTTCCCTTAGTGCAACTCTAAGTGTAACTCTCGGCGCTCTAAGGCCGTCGGCAATGACGATAGTCTCACATTTTGTGGGGACCCCGAGGGAAAAGCCTGCCCGTTATAAGCCTTAGGCTAATGGGAGTGGGGTGCAGGGCTGCCCTGCGCCTCACAGTCCACCTGCAACCTGGCTGGAAGCTCCATGGAAGCCCCAGACAGTGCAATTGCAGGGAGTCCCTTAAGGGGCACCTCTGAGGAGAATCTGTGACTGGCATGTGCCACCTTGAGAGTCTTCCTGTACCACCTCCAGGGGCCTCCTGTGTGCCAGGCACATTTGAAGGGCTGTTGGCTGGATTTATCTGATGTAACTCTGGATGCTTTGTGAGGAAGGACTGTTAACCTCACGTGATGAGCGATGATGAAGGGCTGGCGATGCCGACGGCACCGAGTGCCTCCTGGCTCTGGGCCTGGGCCCATTGTGCCTGCATTTTATAGCCCTGGGAAGGCGGCTAAGAGCAGTGAAGGACTTAGCGTTGGTTTCTAAACTGGGCTCCTGTGTGGAGACTCCTGTTGGGCTCTGGGTCCAGCACCTTCCGTTTGGCTGCACGCCGTCCTCTGAGCGCCGCTGCCCAGGCGAGGAGCCAGCCAAGCCACTGGCCAGGAAGCAGTGGCCACTGCCTGCCTCCCAGCCCAGCTGGGGTTCAGCGGCTGGAGCTGACAGCACCCCCAAGGTACAAATGAGGCTGTCTGGCTCCCGCCCGGACAGACACCCGACCAGCCACACCAGGCCTCCCATTGCTCCTCTGTAGAACAGGTGCCCCCGGGTGAGCCCCCTCCCTCTCGGGAGTACAGTCTGAATCCTGGCCACCTCAAGGTCTCACCGGCTCTCTGGCTCCCCCAGAGCTGCGCACTGTCTGCTCCACCTCCTAGTCCTCTGGACAGAGCTGTCTGCCC